TTCTAATCTAATTATTTTGTTTTGTTAAAGCTCAAAACAATTATTAATTCTTGGCTCATGGCAATCGTATGATAATCAGCTTGATTACTGAACACTCGGTTCTCTGCATTGCATTTTTAGCCTGCGTCATCCATGAATCATCTGGAGGTGAATGTCACTTACTTTTCCGTTGCTTCATTGTTAGATTGCCTAGAAGGCATGCTTTAGTTTCGATTGCTTTGCAATAATTATACATAAAAAAAAAAACGTGCCATAGATTCAGCTCAGCTGATAAATATTTTAATGTTTGTTATTGGAAACGGATTTAAGGGGAATTTTCTCCTATAATTATTAATAGCAATTTTATTTTGATTTTCAACTTTAAAATAAAAAAATACGTTGAACAACTTTTAAATATGTAAGCGAAGAGAAACCTAAATTGGACGTTCACCTCTAATAAAAAGGTTAGATAAAATCCGTTACATAAAACTTGATTAAAATAAATTCGAACGGTATAGAAAAGAAAAAACAAAAAAAAAAAAACTGAGTTATATTATATTGGAGAGCTGGTGGTGCAAACATATCAAGTAAGCGAAAGAAAAAATAGTAAAAAGCTCGACTTTCGTTTGCTCTTTGTTTAGTTTGGCTTTGGCACCCATTCAGCTACGGTTTCTCATGCCTCTCTACCGCGTTGTTAAACATTAAACATTAAACATTAACGTAAACGACGCTTGTATGTAACTAAAGATACATGTTGTCTTCAATTATTTCATTTATTTTATTAAATAGGTATTAAGACGGACATGACAATGCTGCAATTCGTGAGAGTGCTGGTTGCGAGTTTGATTATCGCTTCTGCTGTAGGCGATGAAATAAAAAATGTTCTTCTATTGTTGGCCGATGATGCTGGCCTAGAAATGGGAGCCTATCTGAATAAGTTTAGCCAAACAGCGAATCTAGATGCTTTAGCTCGTCGAGGCCTTTTATTTAACAATGCTTTCACTTCAGTCAGCAGCTGTTCGCCAAGTCGGGCTCAATTGTTAACTGGCCAAGCCAGCCACTCAAATGGAATGTATGGATTGCATCATAGTGTTCATAATTTCAATGTCTTGCCGAATATACAATCTCTGCCAAATGTCTTAAGAGAAAAATCGAACGGTCATATTCTAAGCGGTATTATTGGTAAAAAGCATGTCGGCGCTGCCGATCATTTTAGATTTGATTTTGAAGAAACCGAAGAAAAACATCCCATTAATCAGATTGGCCGTAACATCACCAACATCAAATTGTATACGAGAGAATTTCTGCGGCAAGCAAAAACGCAGGCGAAACCGTTTTTCCTAATGATAGGTTTTCATGATCCCCATCGTTGCGGTCATGTAACACCGCAATACGGTGAATTTTGCGAACGCTGGGGCACGGGCGAAGAGGGCATGGGCACAATTCCAGATTGGAAGCCCATTTATTATGACTGGCGGAACTTGGACATACCCGCTTATTTACCCGTAACTGATGTGGTGCGAAAAGAGTTGGCCGCCCAATATATGACCATTTCACGTTTGGATCAGGGTGTTGGCTTGGTTTTAAAAGAGCTGGAAAGCTTTGATTTCGCAAACAACACTTTAGTTATGTACACTTCAGATAATGGCCCACCATTTCCGGCGGCCCGTACTAACCTATATGAGCGTGGTATAAAGTCACCGTTTATTTTGGCCTCGCCTAATGCCGAAGATAGACATCACGAGACCACTGGTGCTATGGTCTCACTAATGGATGTATATGCTACCGTATTGGATGCCTTTCAATTATCGCTCAATAATTCCGCATTTTCATCCAAGTCACTTATGCCTTTGCTACGCAAAGAGCCTCGACCGCAGGAAGACGATGCGGTTTATGGTTCTCACAGCTATCATGAGATCACTATGGATTATCCAATGCGCATGATACGTACACGACAATACAAATTGATTCATAATTTGAATTATTGGTCGTACTTTCCTATTGATCAAGATTTCTATACTTCGCCAACATTCCAGCAAATACTCAATGCTACTCTTCATCGTGACAACTTGCCCTGGTATCGTTCACTACAATCATATTACGAACGGCCTGAATGGGAGTTATATAATATAAAATCCGATACCATGGAACGTCACAATTTAGCAGAACAGCCTGAGTATAAGAATGTGTTAAAAGTGTTGAAACAACGTTTACACGAATGGCAAGCGAGCACTAATGATCCATGGCTTTGTGCACCGCATGCTGTTTTACAAGCCCAAGGAATCTATAAAGACAATCCCGTTTGCCTTACTTTAGGTCATGAGAGCTTATGAAATTGTTAAGCTTTACTTTTAGACTATCTCAAGTTGAAAAAATAATATGAGAAATTTATTTTTAAGAAAGTGTAATAAAAACTTGAAACACTTTTTAGATGAAACATTCAACTTGCTCTCAATTTGTATGTAACTCCGTCGATGAAAGGAATGTGGAAAAAAGAGTTAAGCCCACATTGTGTTGGAGAAATTTGCCAAATTTAGGAAAGTTGAGGTGAAAAGGTAAGATGAAAAGGTAAGGGGGCCCGGCACAAGCTAGGTCAATCGCAGGAGCCCCATTATCAGATTTCTCTTTAGAGGAATCCAGAGCAACTTTTTTCATACTCTAATTTACTTGTGTCTTCTTCTTTTTATTTCACCAAAGAATCTGTCTGATGTTCGTCTTTTTTTGGGATATTGTGGGCAGATGGCCCGGGGAAAATGTATTGTACGGGATAATATTTGCAGCAACTTCCCACATTGATTGTCTGTTTGTCCGATTATAACATTAAGTTAAGTGGTTTTCAGTTTTAAAAGCAGAATGGGCCTATATGAGGCGGGAATGATAGTTGTTCGATCAAACTGCTTTGGTTTCTATGTTTAAAAAGTCTTGTACAATCTAGGCCGAAATTGCGAGAATTGAGACCTTTGGAGATGACTGGCGATGTGGTGGCTTATTTCTTGGCTAAAACATTAGTTAAAATGTTAGGAAAACACTTAAGCAAGTCCGATTTTAAGAATCCTATGAAAATTTATGAGCTCTAGCTGGACTGAGTTGCTCTTCGAAGCTCAAATAAGACAGCATGCAAAGCGAGGTACTAGGCATGCTTTAACGCCAATGAGATAGAGTTTAGACGCCCTCTCGGATCAACCTGGACAGTTCCCAAAGATCAATTCCCAAATCACAAAAGTCGATTTCGAAGTCATTTCTTACGATAGGTTCAATGATGTGAATGAACGATGATGAATTGTCGCCAGATAGGGTTGCTCTACTTTATTTATCTCTAGAAGATTCTGAATCAGCATCAGCGTTATGTCTGCTTAACAGGCTTAATTAACTAACAACTTTTAAACAACAACAATTTTACAACCGATTTTAAGTTTTCAAGCTGTCGAAAGATGAAAAATGTCAGTGCGGGGTAACGTATTTATATTATTTAGTATTTATTTAATACTTCCACTTGCCGGTTCATTTTTGTTTTCTTTTAGAGACAAGGAAATGTTAATTGGCAAATACCTTAAACCGACACATTTTAACCGACGAACTGCTATTAGCTGTAAGCGTATCAAAAAGGCGACGCTTTTGACACATAAGGCTTTTTTAAATTGAAGTTGAGGACTATACACAGTACTTTTATGATCATCACCCAAGAATTTCGTCAAAACGTTTGCAACGGTGAGAAGGAAGTTTCAGCATCAAATAGTGCATCGATTTAAGTATATCTGTCTGTCCGTCCGTCCGCAATGTCTGTTGTAAGCATTTCCCTGGCCGCGAAAATGAAATTGTTGCTTTCAAATCCGGCAGAAACATCGCAACTTCTTGCCGGTATGTTGATATTCAGAATGGATCGATTCGGTCGAAGCACACGGTCATAGTACCATGTAAACTGAGAACACCTATGTTTTTCGAAAGAAATGAAAAATTTGTTTATGGCTATTACTTATAAACTATAGCTGATAAATCTATAAAAATTTGAAGATGTATTCTATCGGCAATGCTGTAATACCTGTACAAAAATGGGGACCAGTGACCACGCCTATACAATATTGTAGTGTAATAAAACTTAAGTGTTTTTCCAATACCTTTATAACGCGCAGAATGAACAAGCTTCAAAGATCCGTTAAATTCGGTCTATTCGTCTGTCCATCCGTATCTGTTGTGCACATTCTCCCCTTTATGAAAAATAAGATATCACTTATAAATTTGGAAAAGAGTTTGGAAACGGAAGTATACAACCAGGACTGAGAAAGTCTTTGCGTTCCGTGTCCTTTGCTCGTTGCTCACGAGCTACAACATATGCGCGGCGTAAATTCCCACAAAACTATTCTACAAAAATAGAATAGATTTGCCAGGCCTACCCAATATTATGGAGTAAGCAAATTAATATTTTTCCCTAATGGTTTCGAATATAAAAGATTTGCTCCCAACCGAATATAATTCTCGTACTTCTTGAACTTGTACTTTCACTTTTGTATGGACACACATAACTTAAGCGATTCATATGCTGATTGAGCATAGCCTACGAATCGATTGACAAAATTAATAAACTTCATTCTTCAAGATGACGGATATGAGTAAAATTGCGTTCATAATCAAATCTTCCTCATTGGTATTAGTTTAACACACTTTAATAAAATAAGTTACGACATTTGTTTTTGGCAAAGTCTTGACATTGGCAATAATCCAAGTGAATTTAATATTGAACTTCAAAATTTCCCTATGGTCATGATCGATGCGATATTAACTATAATTTTAAGTCGAATTCAACTAAGAAATCATTCAATATTTAAACTTACTGCACGTAAGACGTACTCATAAAAGAGAAGCGAAGATGGCCTCTTACAAACTCTGCATAATAATAGTTATTCTCTATGTCCTTACAATGGCTCAAAGTGGAGCAATGGCTCCCAAGAAACTTAGAGGTCAAGTAAAAAAATCGAATGGCAATGTGAAACTGAAGGCGACTTTCAAAATCGGTGAGTTATGTGAAATTTGAAAATGTGTTTTGCCTAAAAAATTCTAAAATTTGAAAACAAAAAAAAAAACAATTTAGCGCCTGGCCCAAGCAAACTGAATAAGCGGAACGCCAAAATGGGTTTTTACAATGGCTTATCGGCGACATCACCTATCGGTGGCTTTTATTCGGGTCCGCCGGCGCACATGTTTCTGCATTCGTCACCGCTGACAACCACATATTATCCAATGCGTTGGAGTTCCATGATGCCAGGAAATATTTTAAGGCGTACCGATGAGTTTTCACCTTTGCCCTCTGCTCCGACACTCATTGATAATATGAATAGTTTCGGAAGTAGTTCCAGTCTAATGGATAATATTTTACCCAGCACTGGTGGCAGTTTATGGTCATCAAATGATCTACCGCTAGTGAATATGAAATCAATGCCGGGAAATGGAAAATTAAATTTTTTAAATAGTTACAATTTGAACGAACCATCCAGGGAGTACAACAACCCGTTCGGGGGTCCATTTAATCATTATATTTAGTAAATATCTAAAGTAGTTTGAAATGATTGCTTTGTTGTTTTGTTTCATTAATAAAATTAAAGAAAGAATTTACTTTCTTTTATTAGAAATAAAAACTTATTTTAATGCCCTTTCCTCTAGAATATAAAGATTGTTGTGCTCATCTCTAAGTCCAGTTGGTTTTAAGCTGCTGTTTAGCAACGTTTTTTTTTTTTGGTTATTTCGCCCCTAAGCCTGTGGGGTGGCCTAAGGGTATATTAAGTTTCTGTCGATGCATGCAACAACCAGAAGAAGTTGATGAAGACTCATCTTTCATCGTACCGTTATAAGATTGTCTCTCCGTCCGTCCGTCTTGTATCCTTTTATTCAACCTAGAGGCGACAATCTGTAATGATTATGTCTGTTGAAAGTGGATCGACTCGGAAAGCTCCGTTCCTTCACTCTCTTAACTGTAGGATGATTTAATGGTGGGCTGTGGACTACTGTAATGTTTTTATTATTCGTTTTTAAGACTAAGATGAAATTGATATAAATCCATAATCCAGTTCCGCACTCGATCCGCCTGCCTATCCCTGTCAATTGAAACATTCAAACAATAAAAGTCCAATAATAGTTGGTAAACGAGGGAGTCTCGCAAGCATTATATTTAAAAATATTCTCAACTACACAATTACTTTAGTCATTCTTAAGAATAGGGTAAACGATATATTCATATTCTTATCAAGCCTGGTCTAATAATAATTCTTCTCCGATGAGTATAAAGTTTTTAAATTATTTTGTAAAACATAAATATCCTCCGGACGACCATTAAAATAATAATGACGTTTTAAATGCGTTAGCCTTGAATCCGGTTGGTCCGACATTGAGCCGATATAAGCTGAATTTAGAACATTTGACGGCGAAGGATTATCATAAGTGGATAGCGTTAAAGTGGGATCATAAGGATGATTGTTTGGCTGAGATTGTTTGGGACCAAAGGATAACGAATTGTAATTGCTTGGCACGTGATTATATTGCAGATGTGTTTGGATATCGTTCGGAGAGCCACCCATTTGATAGATATTGTTCGGTTTACCATTCGACATGAAGTTTACGGGTACATTGAAAATTGAACTGAATGGGGAAAAGTGGGCAAACGCTGAAGAATGATATGGTAATACATTAAAACTAGGTAAAAACAGATAGGGCGGAGTAGGAAGTCGTACATAATAAATAGGAGAATTGTTGGGATAGTTGTTGCTAACGGAAGAATCACTACGTCTTGCAGCATTGGTGGTGGCCATACGGGGCAGCGAGTCTTCATAATTCGAACTTATGCTGTCAGTCATTACAGGTGCTGCCATCATTTGTGTCGGCATATAGAATGGGTAAGGCACGAACACAGGGGCTGGAGCGGCCCATATCGGCATATGTACTGTCGGTCCTTCGTAAGATGGAAAAATATTTGAAAATATGGCATTTGCAACGGAAGGCGGCGGCAGGTTACTTAAGGGCTGCTGGGCATAATCATTTTGATATAAATTCCAAGGATAAGGACCGTGCTGGATCGTGCCTGCTCCTGCGCCTGGGATTGCTGGTTGATTTTCTCGTTTTAATTCACTCAACATGGGATACGATGAGTCCGTAACATCTTCCTCCGAATTGTAGGATTTATACAAGTCCGCCATGACATTATTCTTATCATTACTCTGAGCGTAGTGAGCCGTCGGCATTTGATTAGATACTAACGCTGAGCTTACATCAAGACTTTGCTGATTGTTATGATTCGCATTTGAATCATGCATTGTAGCAGATTGAACGCCAGCTTTCAATTGCTGAGTTGGCTGCGTTAGAATGCTAGTCTGTTGTTGTTGTTGCACTGCTTGTACATTTTGATGATGATTTTGTGTTATTGCCGACTGAGGCATTTTCA